GGTGGCACTACACCAGGCAGAGATGGAAGGAGAGGGAGAGAACAGAGAACTGGGGGCTGAGTGTTGCTCCTCACCCAGCGCTGCCAGCCCTGCTAGCATGGCAACTCACAGCTCACTCCAAAGCCTCCCTCACGGCCCCGGCATGCTTCAGCTCCCAGCGTGTGGCCAGGTCTCATTACCTCCTGAGCCCTCTCACTGAGGTGACACAAACCAGCTCCCACCCTGCTCACCGCACATACCAGCAGATGCCAAAAGCTGTGTCATGTCAGCACCCTTGGCTGGCATCAGCTCCCCACAGCCACAGCTACGGCCATGAGAGCTCACTTCTCTCAGGAACATGGAAGGCAAGAGGCCTGGCCCCAGGACGGACTTCTGCTCCAGCTACTCCCTTAAGGGGCAGTAAAGCCATTTGTTTTCTTTCCCCCTTGGAAAGGAGGACAGGCCCACCTCCTGAGCCAGCCCTGCAGGTTCACCAGCAGCAGGCTGCTCCCCCTGCCAGAGGGCTCTGGGGAGTCCCTGCTGCCCACCCCAGCCGGGCCTGGCATGGGCAAAGCCACAGGGCTCTGTGCACCTCCCACCCCTCAGAACACAGCATGAGGGCAGCCATCCCTCAGGGGCTTCGCCTGGTGCTGGCCATACTGCCCAGTGGCACACCTCCCACCCCTCAGAACACAGCATGAGGGCAGCCATCCCTCAGGAGCCTCGCCTGGCGCTGGCCACGCTGCCCAGTGGCACCGTGGGCATTAATGCCCCTGAACCTTCCTTCCCGAGGAAGCCCTGGGGCTCCTCACATGCCTAAATCTAACATGTGCTTAAATGTTGTAATTGTAAAGTTCTGGGGAATCATCTGTATTATCAGTGTTCATCACATCAAGTTCTATTTTGAAAATATGACTCACTAGTTGCAAAGAGTTTTCCCAAATTGCTTAAAAGATTAATAAAATAATCAACTTAGCAGAGGGGAAGAAAAACCACAAACTATTCCTGTAAGGAAATCACTTTATTGCCTATACATGTGAATGAGCTGTTTTAATGCTCAGGTTCACTGCCTCCTCTGCATTTAATCTCTTCCCTTTTATGTCCTACTCTGAATTTTTTTAAAGGACTTTCAGGCTTTTATAAAATTAATTATACAAATCATTAGTATTAAAAAGGTAATATAATGGTTTCAAGAACAAGCTTCACAGACTATCTGCATATTTAATCATCTCCGCTAATAAATTTTTAATCACTCATTGAGTTCAGGTTCTTGTCTTGAAGCTTAACTTGATAACAAACCTAGCAACTGGTAGAACTAATTGGTACAGAGTAAGTGAATAATTTATAAGAGGAAAAAGCACTGGGTGTTCTGGAGGTGTGCAGAGACCACAAGTCACAGATATTTCTGGGAGGAAGCATGAAAACAGTGGCTGATTGCAGGAATTTCGTGATACACTGCTGACATCCAGAGGCCAACAGTCAATACTGTTCACATATGTGAGCCAGGCTGTAAAGCGTGCTGTAAAGTCAGATTCATTAAGTTTTAAATATTCATGCATTTCATTAAAGTTAACATTAATTGCACTACCATACACATTGATTATGCATAGACCATAAGTGTTTAACCTCTGAAAGCTTGCAAGTATATTCAAGTAATGGGGTATGTCCTATCTTCGATGATTTCGGCTACAAAGTTGAAATTAGAAATGGAATGCATTACAGTGTATTAGAATAGTACTCTGAAATTCCAGAACAGTCATAAAAATAATTGTTTTTCTAATCAAACAGAAATGCTGATGTAAGCTGTAAGTTTCTTTGTCTTTTTCAAAACGAATTAAATAAAGGTAACAAAAATTATGTATAAGATTTCTTACAGACAATGCTAGATTGATTTGCAAGCCACAGCTAATAAATAGGGTTCAACAGTTAAAATTAATTGATGAATGAGTGGCTTCGGTTTAGATGAAGATGAGTAGCTTTTAAACAACAAAAAAAGGCTATTCACTTGAAATAAGCTGATTTTAACTTAAAATGAGATACTGCAAGCCCACTATGGAATAATTCTACCCCCAGGGAAGCACAAAATGCTACAATTCTTAAACCAGGCTCTAACAGAAAACATTTGACAGAAATTCAATTATCCTTACAAGATCCCACTTGTAGTTAGTTACATACATAATCCTCTTTTATTTAATGGGTTAAAGCTCTCCTTCAAAACATTTAGTTGGACGACTTGAAGACACACTATATTGCAAAAAATTCATCAAGTGACTTAATAAGATTGTTAAGTAAAAACAGAAGTTTAAAAATGTCACTTAATGCTGCCCCTGCAACCTTAATTCCGTCCGTGTACGTATATACCTTGTGAAACAGCAGTGAATTAACTTTTAATCTCCTTTGAGCCAAGAAGATTTTAGATTGGAAACTAAGGCACAAAGGGCATGCCAACAAATACAATGCTGAGCTTTAGCACAATCTCTGCACTAGCTCACATCTCACAGAGCATACCCCTGCAGGGCTAATTACCCCAGATAGCAACCGAGGCTTGTGCACTTACACTGCTTTTGGTTCCTCTACATGGCAAGCTCAGTTCTCTCCTCCTGGCAGTGCACTACACATAAACACTCTGGGAAGCATAAAATTTTAAATCTGAAGAAAACATGGAGAGTTTTTTTATTACTATGCTTCATACCTAGGTGTTTTGGCATCAAGTAAAGGTAAAAACGGATCATTTAAGTATTAAAAACCTTCTGCAAATAACACCAGTTTCTTCTGTTCTGTTGTTTGTTGATTTTTTGGGGTTTTGTTTTTCCTTAAAAAGCAGTCCATAAATATTCTGTGAGGTAGATATAAAACTGTCCACATTTTGTAGAGAAGCAAATGTTGGAGACAGATAGACTGGCTTGCCCAAAATAGTACTGATTTCTTCCTGAGCTGTTAACAGCTCCTGATTAGCCAATTCTCTTTGTGAAGGTGGGCACCAAAGTGTAGTATTCCTAATTAGAAGTGACAATTAACACACTGAAATTCTGTCTAAATAGCATTGCCTACACCCCCAAAGAACTTTATGGTCAGACATATCCTGGCTGATCTCATAGAAATTCCTTGCTGTTTTGTTCTGACTGGTGGCAAGCAAGGAACTTGAAAGTCATATATCAACCACTTGTACAATTTAGGAAAAAGTCTGGGATATCAGAATATTTGAGTTTTGACAGGTGTTGTTTGGTTTTTTGCTTTTACACATTAAGACTACCTCCTTCATGCTTCTTTCTTGAGTTATATTTAAACAAGGAGGTAGCCTGTGAAGTCATTTAAACAGCAAACTAGATTTTATTAGTTTTACTGGTTTGTTTTTTTCTGGCATGGTCACAAACAACAACAGAATCCACAAAAGGTATGCACATCATGTAAAAGTGATTATGTATTCCCAGCAACATTTCAGTTTAGATTTTAATTAAGAGAGCTGTCAAAATGCAGGAGGAAATGCTTTGCAGTATAAGAAAGTTTTGAATACTTGACAGCTCAAATGTTCAAATCCTATGCTCATTAAGCAATACTTGATTTTACTTGGGCTTTTTTATTATTATTATTTTGGTTTGGTTTTGTTTTTTGGCTTTTTTCAATTTCACTTGTGAAACAAAAACTGAAAAAGCAGGCAAAGCTTCTTGATGGTTGATGTCTCCACCATGTGATATAATACCAACATTCTTTTCTGATAGGTCCAAAGGTGACAGGTACTCAGTCATTGAGCAGGTGGCTTCTCTGCCAAGCATGAATACATAAATACAAATAAAAATTATGAAGCTTTCACATGTCCAAATAGAAATGGACTACAATAGACAATAGACATTTGTCACAAGATGATTTAAAAAAGGGATGCAGAGAATGTTTCTCCTTATTCTACATCAACATCTGAAATAAAACTACCTGAGAAGTAACCACATTATTAAACCAAACCTGAAGAGGTTTTAATTAAAATTATTTTTTAAGTATAATTTGAAATTATGTTTGAGGTTTAAGAGTTAAATTTATTAGACTGTAAAGATTTTTACAAAGCTTTCCTAATGTAATGAGCTTAGGCACCACATATGTTGCATCTTTGGTACACATTAGGAAGAGTTGCTTTTTTAATGAGCTTTAAAAACTGCATTTGCATACCAGAGGAAAAGGTCAGCGATGTGTGGATCAAGTCGGTAAATTAAGTATCACAGTATTATGTTATTATGCTTGCCTTCCAGAGACACACAATAACAAAACCACAGGCTACAGTTACCACACTGTTCTCCAGCCTCCATGTCCATGACCTTGGCAGCTGCCACATCCCGGCTCTGCTGTGCCTCGGGGCCCAGCAGCTCCACCTCCGGCCCAGGCCCCCTTTACCTTCTCCCCACCTCCTCCTGCAGCAGAGCAGCTGCTGTGGCTGCCAGCCATGGACCTAAGCAAACACAGGAACGGGGAGCTGGATTCAGTGTGATGGCCCATCTTCAAACACTGACTTCACTCCAGCCTTTACCCTTTGTAAAGATACCCAGGACAATGCCCTGAGTCCTTTCAATAAGATCAGATCTCTTGGAAAGCAAAGCATCAGGACGGGGATGCCTCTTTCCCAAGTCCTACTGCACTCGAGTTTTTGTTCAAGGATACAACTGTCTTTCAAAACACAAATACCAAAATTAATTCTAATGCTGTGGTGCAAAATTTGATTTGGTGGACTGGCACAGTTCTTTCTAGCTGGAATTTTAGATACTTGATAATCTGTAAAGATTGCTTAACTGGTAGCTAAACTGACATTTTTATTTTATAATAAATAATAAAATAATCTAGGAACTGACTACAAATAGACTTTCATGAGGTTTTCAGCAAAGTCCACTGGACTTACCTTTATTTGTAAGTATTGTAAATTATTGATAATTTACAACTAACTTACAACTAAGCATTACTTTTATTTTTTTAGGGCAATTGAAATTGATTCCTTCCTCAACTGTGCAAAGATCCACACTACTTAACAGGTCTTTCTTTGTGTCAGAGATTATAGGTATACACTAAACCACATTATGCACTACATAATAATTATGCATGTTCATACATTTCACAGCCAAGTAAGTGACAGTCCAGCCCTGTATGAAGATGTAGATTTAGTCATTAGATTATAAAAAAAAAATCCTTTTAAATATTACAACAAGAATAGCACAACTCAATACAACTGAGCAGTTATAAGTGATTTTAATGATTTTTCACTTTTTGGATATGATAATCCTCAAAGTAGCATTCAAAAATATAGTGCAAAATATTTATTCATTTTATTTACAAATAAAATGTGCAGTTCAGCTTCTGATCCTTGCCACAGTAAATGTTATTCTTTTGTGTGATGAACAGAAATTATGAGAAACATTTATAGAGAAAAAAGTTAATTTTAAACCTTAGAACAAAGATCTTCCTTCAGTTATATTTTTGTAGGAGTTACACAATATTTTTCAAAACTGTTTTCAGATGAAAAGAAAACCCAGCAAGTCCAAGACAACACTAAAGAATTACATACGAAAAAATGGTTTTTCAAAACCATAAAGTTAATTTTGCTGTGACAATCACAAAGCAAAGTTCTTATCTACATAGAATATAAATTAATCTTTTTTTTGCAGCTTAAACATAGAATCTTTACAATGCAATGGGTCTTCCCCCCTTTTTGCTGTACAAATTGCCTTTGGGGGGAAAAGTATACTAGCATCTTCCTTTCCCTCTGATGAAACAACAAATGCTTTGGTTAAAGAGCAATCCGTGCACAATAGTGTTTTAACTTGCAAGGCAACACTCCTTTATTAAGTTGATAGAATTCCACTAGCTGGATGAGATCAGTAAATCTGGTATGACCATCATCGAGGGTATAGAATAGCTTCCCATCATCTTCCAACTGTAAAAATGGAAAAACAAGATTCAATAAAATCTTCTTTTGCTACAGTATTTTTTTCTGATTTGAATACTTCTTTGAGAAGTGTTCTTACAGACCAACATATTCGTAATCTTACAACTACTGTGAGCAGAAAAAATACAGTGATCATTTACACATCTTAAAGAAAATATTTTAAGATTTTTTTTAAAAAGACCAACAGGAAAACAATGTATTATTTGACTTCAAGTACACATCTAAAAAGAACAGTTAAATAAGTATAGGAATACTCTCTCTGCATTAACAATACTACTTCATGCCTTTGCCTTGGAATTACAGCAGGGGTTAATACCTACCCTGAGTTCTTAGAGAGGAACAAGAAGAAACCAAGTTTGAAGTTACTCATAAATTTCAACCTTTACTCCATTCATTTCCATGATTTTCTTTCACTTTTGTAAGGTGTGATGAGGCTGCACACCAGTGCAGTGGTGTGCTGGGTACTATTAGCTACACAAGACACTACCCATCACAAGAGTGACATGCTTGCTCCAGCACTTCTTTGCTGTAGGGGGAAGAATTGCTGCAGCTCCAAACATGTATTAGCATAGATGTAGAAGAGAAATAAGAAACTTCAACAGATACCTTGAAAGATTCCTTTTGATGCTTAAAAATTTACAATCACTATTTCCCTCTTCTAAGTTACTAAATGTTAGCTCTTGGACAATTTGTACTGCACTGCTGACTACATAATTTCTTGATTTAGTTCCTCTACTGCTGATATGTCTAATATCAAGAGGACTAGTGAAATAGTGACTAATTGGTATTCATGTAAATAAAGGGTGAAAAAACCTATTGAAACTATTTTTAAAAAGAAAAGGGAAAAAAGATACAAGACTGAAAGAGTATTGAACAGAGGATCCTGAAGTAGGGCTAGCATGGAGTAGCAGACGGTGTGCTAGGGAAAGATGCAGCCACGCTACTTGAATACAGGGGAAAGGAGAAGATATAATTAGCTGTCTTACCTGTAATTAAGAAGTTCTATCTGAAGCAGCTGTTGAACTGCTTATGACTCCTGGATTATTCTACCCCTTTCTACCATGACTGGAAGTAGTTTGTAATTTCTTTATTCTCAGACTTTGGTCAAACCAGGTCAAACTCTGCTAGTTAAGGAATTACCAATGTGAGAATGTGTGAACTCCTGTGCTCCAGCCAAAAACCTGAAAATGGATTATCATTCATTGGACTTTCTTTATGCATGCAATTTTCCTGCCAACACACTGCAGGCAAGAAGAGTTAACAATTCAAATGTCTGTTATGATCCTAATAAGTTAATTCCTTGAAATGAATAGCAGACAGATTGCTAATTTTAAAGCTATCAATATTTTGCAAAGTAAAAACTCATATCAAAGTTCTGTTGCTCAAGAACCTAGCATCTTCTGCAAGCTAAGAACCCTGTTATGAGAAAGCATTTATTAGAAAAAGGCAGTCCCAGAACTGTATATCAACTCTTCATCTTTCATATGAATGAAATTTCAGGATAGAATCCATTGAAGTGAACTTGCATCAGCTTAGAGTGTAAAGGCTAAAAAATACCTTTAAACTAACAAGCTCTCCAATTTTTACAGTACAGGATCCCAATTGTATCCCAAAGTTTTCCTTCTGAACTTTTTACGATCAATTCCCAACAACCCACCTGCAATACCTGTTGCACAGATTGTCAATGTTAACACAAGGCACCTGCTTGCATGGGTGAGGCAGGAACTAGCAAGCTGCACACCCTGTCTAAAAGGGGACATTTTAAAGTGCAGCATAACCTGAAGCAACCTAAAATACAAGAGAAAAATAAGTCATCTAGGGATTGGATTGGATTGTTTTTACCTTGTAAAGAGGCTTTGTAAATTACATGTATTTGTTTACATTTAGTAAGAAAGTTTGCCTTCAGAATGGCTGGAAACAGGTAAGTGTTTAGAACAGTAGAATTTGAAATTCAAAGAGGTAACCTTGATCTTCAGCTAATAAGCTGTGACTTTACTACAGTAATATAAAATGCCTTGTTTCTTAGAAAATGATCACTTAATTTAGATCAGCAGCAACTGGAACCAAAACCCTTCCTCCCTTAAACAACAATTTTCTGAAATCTTTAAAGAGCACCATTCCAGCAAAACCAGAGCACATTTAAGTCAGGGTATTGAGAATGCAATGAGGATACTGAATGCAACCAGAAACTGACAGAAAGGAACATGCCAATATTTGGGGGACAACAGCTTCCATGCTGACACACTCTGTCTGGATAAAGCTGTTCTCATCATGATTTATTTTTTCTGGCTACTATCATAGGAGAAATTGCTTTAGTTAAAAAACAATTCAAAAACACTTCCTTCAAGTAAGTCAAATTTTGCACTGAAGTGATACAGGTCTTCTCGATGAAAAGCATGAGAAATGTGACCCAAGTCTGTAGACGACTACATCAAAACTAAGAATTACTGGTTCATCCAAAGATTCCACAATAGGAGAGCAAGGTTTTAGCACATTCTCATGAAGGGGAGACGAGAATCATCCATCTCGCAGGTTAGTGAAGATAACTGCAGTGTCCTGCTACACCTGTGCTTAGAGAAGAGAGGGTCTGTTTCCTGATAGGGAAAGGGAAAGTGGTCTCTTCAATTTGAGAGTTAAAGGACATCCCAATGAACTAAAATCATATACTCTTTGTATGGGGTTTAGAAGGTTTTCTAAACCACACAACAGTTATACCAAAGTAAATACTAGAAGTGACTACAGTCAATGAATGCACAGAGATCTTACACCTGGGATTCTTATCAAGGATTATATGTTGATGATCCCATGGGATCCAGTCCATAATTATCACTTTTGGATGAAGGAATCCTCCGTATTCTGTACCTAAACACAACAAAATCCTGGACAATTCTTATAGGTAATCTGATCAACTTATTTCCTCCTCTCAAATAATGCTTCAGTTTTATTCTACATGAACTTTTTTTAGTAGAGAATATTACCTACAAGCCCTAGGTAAGGCATACAGAAATTTGCTGAATGATCAGAGAGAATCAACAGATAAAGAAAAAAAAATAGTGCCACTAATTTCTACTGAGAAACAGCAGAATCTGCTGGAAACTTCAGCAGGAAGATACATGGAAGCTAGAGTATTATCTGGTCTGGAAGAAAGGTTCTTGTAAAGAGAGACAAAAAAAGCTCTGGGTCTGCTCAGTTATGTCAAGCATCTGTGGCCAAAACACTAAATGCTCAAGTATTTCTCAACTCAAGAGATGCAGCATGTAAAGAAACCCACATAAACCACCTTGGGAGAGAGTGGAAGCAATGAGGATGGCTAACCATTCTCTCAGGATAACTAGACAGTATGTTCAATGAAAACTAACAGAAATATGATTTCAGCTTAGTAACTTCCAGCTTACCTATAAAGCAGCTGGACTAAATAATGATTTTTTTTTTTGTTCCTCTGAATATACCACAGTAACAAGAGAGGTCAACAAAATATGTCTGACTACAAATATTGAAAATAACCTCAACAGAAGACTCAGTGAGATATGGACACATGATGGAGGCAGTCTAAAACAGATGACTTAGAAATTGCGTACATACTGAAAAGTAACAGGAAACATGAACTTTCTTAAAACATGATTTTCATGCCATCAGGGTTGCTTCTATTCCAATTGAAACAGATTTGTTTAGTTCTTCAAGAAAAACCTTTTAGGATTTTGTAATACTAGTCAAGCTTTAGAACAAATCAAGCAGCAAAGCTCAAAAACATTCAACCCTACTAAAGAATACTAATTATAACTAGTGATACAGGTATGATGTTTACATCTCCCATAAAACAACAAAAGAAGAAAAAAATCCATCCATATTCTACTACAGTTCTTCAATTTTTTGGCTTTAAAATTCCATATATAAACTGAAAAAACTTACTTACTGGTACAATTTGAAAATGTTTTATTTTTAATCCATGACTCAGTGACAATACAAATGTTTTGGGGTTACTTTGGCTATCACGAACCAGGAATACCCTAAAAGAGATCAAAAAGTTTCAAAGTAAGAACATTTGAAATCCTTTTATAAACATGAAGTTAAAACTGTTCTAAATTCATTACAGCAAGTATTAGTGAAAAGCATAAATAATATCAATTATATAAGTTAGGCTTTTAATCAGTATTTCTTTGCAAATGTGTCACTGGGAATACTTTCTCTTAAGTTCTTCTTCACCTTGTCTATTATGTGAAAAACATGCATTCTCAGAATAAATGACACTGTAGGCGTTAGTTTTTACACTGCATAGAATTACAATACATTTCTTCAGACAGAAAAGCACCCTCAAAGTTTGTGCTTTGAACAAATTTTTTCTTTGGACTCTGACTAGAGAAAACTTGAATTTTCTAAATCACAAGCATTTTAAGTAAAAGTCAAAAGGTAGTTCAGCAGGAATTTTACAGAAAAGGTAATGCAAGGCACACCAGAATGTCCTTCACATCTGGCCAATCCTCATAAATGCATGCTCATTTCTGCACAGCAGCAACATTCCCAACAAGACAGAGCTACATTCTGCTTGCTTTATGGAATGATTATTCAAATCATGACACTCTGAATGGCCAACAGTGCCACTGCAACTAAAATTCACTGATAACTTATTCCAACCAGAACATGCACAAACATAACTTTGCCATAGCCCTGGTAGAATAATTTGGTAAAGACAAAGGATGATTACCAGCATGAGACAGTTTTTACTGAATCACCTGACTTGGAATATTGGCAGAGTATTGGCAGAGAACAGTTTGGAGGACAGGGAAGAACCTGTAGATAGCTTTGGAGTGGAGAGAGTCTGAACTGCTCATACTGAGCAGGTCTGGAACAGATATAGCTGACCATTGTACCAAAGAAGGGAAATGGAGGGACAGCCACTGGCAAGCATGCTTCTCTTTCAGGACAGAAAAGAAATGGGCAAAATGGACTTGCAGGTTTCAATCAAGTGAGCATTAGTGACCACCTAATCATAACTGTTTGTCCCACCACGCACCAGAAATGAGAGCCCGGGTACCACATGAAAAGAAAGAATTTCAAGGGGAAAAATACCAGCCAAAGGTTTGCAGTGAATTTTCACTGACTTCCAGCATGGATTCAAAGTACTAATTTCATTCTCAAAGTTTTTAAGAGTTCTATTTTTACATAGTAAGAAAATTCCTGGAATTAAGAAACCTGGAGTCCATGTTCATTACCGTTTCTGTCAAAATGCCTGAGCCCCGTTACTGACGCAGTTCCCCCCGAGAGCTGCTGCCAGCCCAGCGCTCGGCTCGGCACGGCACGGCCCGGCACGGCTCGGCACAGCCCGGCCCGGCCCGGCTCGGCACGGCAGGGGCCGTGCACCGCCGGCAGCACGGGCTCCGCTCAAACCGGCTCGCTCCCACCACCTAGCGGGCTCTCACCCTCCCGGGACACGAACGGCATGCTCACAGCACTCACAGATCCTCCGCACTAACTTCCATACTTTATATGTTTGTCATCAATGGCGGGCACTTCATTTTTTTCAGAAAAATGACACTGTAGGAATGTGCCACTTTGTAGATATCCAACATAGGGTCTCTCTATACCCAGTTACTACAATCCACATTTAATGATACACATTTATTGGTTCTTATTCATCAATTCTTTTAAAGTACATTTTCTTACTTCTTTCCTAGTTTTATCACACATATAAGGAACAATTCTTCTCCTTCAGAAAAAAAGACCTTCATTATTTTCTAAAATAATCACAATTACCTACTTTAACTATTTTAGTTGTCAAAAAACCTTTAAAATTTTTGTTATGACAAAAGGGCTGTAGTTCACAGAATCTCAGAAATGCTAGCTGCAAAGAGCTTTTTAGACATGCTGGATGACTCCAGTCAACTTCTCCCTCGTGAATTTCTCTGAATGACGAGCTGGACTTTTTCATTGGCCTTTTGGTAATGCTCTTATCCCTTTCATCAACCATTTATCACTGAAAAGTCTCTTCAAATATACTTTAGGTGGTAAAATACAAAATCTACAATATTACCATATGAACTTTTTTAAGAAAGTTGGTTTAACACCAGATCCAAAAACTTTCCTCCTTCATAACATGCCTTAAGATTAGTGCTGTTCCTAATTCTGTTATTGGGCTATCCAAATTCTAAAACTACCGTAACTAGTTTATTTAACTGCCCCCTTGTCTTCTAAAAGCCATCATGAAAAACATATTTGTTGGTACATACAGTATTACAGAGGCCCTATTCCCTTGTCATATATGCATGAGGACTACTTGCTCAGGATCACCTTAAAAGGCCCAATATGGATTATTTTCTCTGCCCTTACTCCCAGAAACTATTTTTCCTATTAAAAATGGCTGCATTTCTAGTGATAATTTATGCTTTCAGATCATCAAAATGATGTCACATGATGTCATGTGTTCATTACTTCACTGTAACTCCTGAATATGTATCTGACACATATGAGCACTCCTACTACCAGTGTTCTAAATAATTCTGCATAGTCCACACAAAAGTTTCATCCTCCTCAAAATCCCACTGCACAGTTATGAATGGCTCCAAGAATATAGCATAAACAACACTGTACTGAACCAATGCTAGCAAGGTATTCACTTTCTCATTTCAGTGTGTGTGTAAGAAATACACTGAAAGATGCATCAGTTCAGAAATACATGTTGGATTCATCCCCATGTCCTGCCCCACTCTTCTAACAAGTGCAAAAATAAATGCAGAGCACAGAACCAGCTTCAAGATGATAAGCCAGGCTTAAAAACAAGACTCCAGAAATCTAAAAAAAAAAAACAAAAGTGGAAGTCCAATTAACCATTCCTGTGCTGGGTTTGTCTCTCTTTGTCTCTCTTTCCTTCCCTTCACTTTTTTTTTTCCTGGAGCCCTTTCTGTAGATGTAGAAAACAATATTACAACATACTTAATACACGACTAAGGATAAAATTGCAGGAATGAAAAGCAGGAGGATTTGAACATAAAATGCCTACTCGCTTTGTCATTTTTTAAATTAATATTTAAATGAAATATTTAAAATATTACAGTCTTATCCTAACGTTTATTGTTTACTATTAAAGAATGACACAATTCTTAGTCAATTAATGAGAAAAAACCATACATTTTTTTCAATGTCTGTCCCAGCAAAGCCCATCTTAGAGTACTGTTTTCAGGCTTTCTTTCATCTTTCATCACTAATAGAGATACAAAAGAGTCGTGCCAAGGCTGACAGCTCCAGAGAATCCTGTGCAAAGACACAGCTCTAGTGCTTGGCTCTGAACGGACACAAATAATCAGTCACTGACAGAATCTAAGTCCTAGATCACCACTGCACGGTTTCCAAATGATATAGAATAGGAACCAACTGATCCCCAGATAGCCCTATATAAAAGACTTTTTATCCCTATTAGGCAAGTGTAATCTCCTTGCTCCACCTCCCCCAGTAAGAGGCACATGAAAGCAGGAGTTTTTGGCTAGAAACATGTCTCAGAGAAGATAGGTAAAGAATTAACTTACCCATCTACAAGTCCATGCTGCAAAATAAGTCTCTGAGCCTCTTCTCTAGAGATTTTATGATGGAACCATGACTGAGATCTGTGTATAGCTGTAGAAAAAAAGATCAGTGAAAAAACATTTTCCCTTTATTGAAAGAACCAGTTATTGCATTTGTCTGGCAAGGAATTAACTCACACATACCCATATTAGACATGGCAATAGGACTACCATGGGAGTTGAGTCGGAGACACCCTCTCCTCTGTATGAGAGAGAAGCAAAAATGTGACTTCAAAGCTCTTTTGTTAAAACAAACAAACAAACAAAAATGAACCCCACCAAACCAGAAAACACTATTCTGATAAATCAAAGATATTTATACCCGCCATGCTAATCCTTCTTCAACTGCGACTGAAAGGGCTTCTGTTGGATTTTCTATAATTCTGCTTCTGTGTCCTGAGAAATCCATTGCTACTAAAGAATTTTCTGAAATGCTTCTCTGCAACAAAGAAAAATAAATTTAGTTTGCTCACTTTTTACAAGATCCATCATTTAAAAGCAAGCTTCTGAGAAAACATTATGTTTTGTAAGTGATATTTCATGTATTGGCAGTGTTTCTCATCAGAGCCAAACTCATTTTACCCTAGGGAGCATTTATAATTCCAGTATGCTGCTGCAAAGCTCAATTTTGCAGTCTGGCTGGACAGACCATTTTTTTGCATTACTGCAATGGATGACAAATATATCACTTTACCATAAACTGTATTTATATTTTTAACTATAACTAGCCCTTTCCATGTCAAAACAAGTCAGGAAACTGTTATTAAGATGTCCAAGTAACAGGGAAAAAAAGGTAAAATACAAAATTATTATACATAATGATCCAATTAAAAAATATTCAAAATATTTCATTAGAAATATGTCAGATTTATATGTTTGCTATATAAATTTCCATTCAGTTTACCATATTTAAGCATTGAAAACAGCAATTTCTATGGAGTACAGCTTCTATTTTAATACATCACTTCTAACTCTAATCACAGACTCAATAACTGCAGCATCTGTTACAAAAAATGCTTGTGTTTTTTTCTCTCAGTGAAGATCAATTTTGTAACAACTGAATAAGAACATTGAGGTTTGACAAAACAGTCCTAAAAATCACCAAAATGTTTCTCAGAAACCAAGGTTTACACAATCAGGTTTTATAAGAATTGTGATGGCAGGCACTGGAATATCTAATAAATAAAAGAGCATTCTACAGGTTAAAACAACATCTGGACACAAGAGGCCCAGATTTCTGTAGGGTTAGCAAAGCTTCCCAGTCCAAAACCAGAGCAGGTCTGGTTATTGGTCTTTTTTTGGTGGTGGTTTTTTTTGGTTTTTTTTTTTTTTTTGCTTTGTTGCAATCATGAATATAACTACAAATGGAGGACAGCAATTCTGTAGTTCACTGTACACTGTAGACTACGGTCTATCTGAGTAACCTGTAAAGAACTTTGCAAAAGTAAAAAATAAGGGAAAATTAAGAGAAAATGTTTGCCTCTAGCAGGGTGGAGGGAACCCTCTGTAGATGACATGGTTGAGAAATGAAGGGATGTGAAACGTGGAAGTGGCTTCCTTATGAAGTACGTTCATCAGCGTGTGCGCTTAATCCGCGATTATTCAATTTGCTGTTTTATTCATGAATTATACACCAGTAGAAAAACAGTGCCATTGTTAGCAGTGGGATAGATTCTGCCTGTTAGAAGCTATGGGAACTAAAATGCACACAACAGTGAAAGAGAAGACAATCAGTAGTAGCTCTCTGATCCATCATAAGAGCAGCAGCTGGCTATTGCAGTAGCTTCACAGAACACAAACTAAGGCACAGGCAGCATATTAAGCACATGCTTAATAAGCCATGCTTATTAGCAAGATCACTGAAAACTACTTATGTGAATACCTGTGATAGCAAATGCATTTTTTGGCATTTTATCAGCAAGAACTATAATAAAAGCTAAAAACAAATCACTATAAAATCATTGTCACAGATCTTTGCAAAAAGTAATTTTTATCCAATTTAGCAAAAACAAAACACAAAAGGAATATAAATCATCCATGAAAAAGTCTGAAATGACTCATAAAGAGTAGGGATAACGTAAGATATAAAGAAATGGAAAACCTCATCCAATCCCAACTATCCAACTGAGAAGAAGGACACGATATCTTGTATAGTCTGCTTTTCTCCAAAACAGGAGAAATCTGCCAAATTATGGTTTTCCCCCAAAGTCTGGTCAGTATTACACCAGCTCAAATTCATCTCAAGTACTTAATGTTTTTGGGTATTTTTTTTAATTAAAAGAGGAAGTATACCAAAAAGGATTTGTTATAATCTTCTTTTTCATCACCATGTGTAACCTTAAACATTTTGCTTCTCTTTTAACACATTTATGGTCCTGCTGCTTTCTTTTCAGAATCTTCTTTCCATTCAACAGCAATAAGCCAATGAACTCCCAAAATACTGAAGATTTTACAAAGAGAAAGCCTTTTAACTCATTTGTTAAATTGAAATTAATTAATTAGCTCTCTAGTCAACCCTGGTAGCCCTTAATATTTCGGCAAGCATTGGCACATGCAAGGTTTTGAAGGAGCAGGTCAGTAGTGTAACTGACACAAGTTACTTGAAAAGAGCACAATGGCAGAAACATGTATTTATTCATGGAGCTACTGTGGGACATACCATAGGTGTTATATTCAAAGGGCTGCAGCCACTTCTACCTTGATATGGTTGCATGTAATTCTGATACAGCTGCATCCCATACTAAAACCAGAAAATAACATGGTTAGCATTTTAAATTATAAACCTAAGCCAAGTAAGGTTTTTTCCAGATGAAAAAGATAGCACATGCCTTTTTTTACCATTAAAAACCAGGGAGAAAAGCTGTTAGGCTAAGGAAATGTACATCATCACTGTTGCTGCTGCCTTTACAAATGTTTCACTTTGCATGAAATACTACCCATTTAATACACCAACTGGCCTGTTCCTATTTTGTCACAAACAGTCACATTTTAAAAACACTGAAGTTCCCTTGTTGTGTATTCTTGTCGCTTTGTTCAACATTACTCAGCAATCTCACACGAATTCAACATGGTTACACAGAAACATATGCTTAATGTTAAATATTTTCAGGACTGAGGCATCATTCCACCCCTTAAAATGATTTCAGGATTTGAACGCTCTCTTCTTGTGGGGATAAAAAAAAAAAAGATTTCAAAGTACAAAATTGATACTGCTATTGCATGGGAACCTAAAATGATGTTACCTCTCTACTCACAGCATCAAAATACCACATAGCACACTTAAGCAAGAAGTTAACTCCACACAGAAAAATTACCTTGAGTAACCTAATTGCTGTCATCCAACAGGTCCTACTTTGTTCATCATCTGCACAGAGCTGTTTCAGGTCTCTGGTTCCTCCTGATTTGTTAGGCTAGAAGGCCACAGCACATTTTTTTAGCATTAAAGCATATCTTGAAGATAATACCTGTTGAAATAAAAGCCACTAATTCTCCTATTTTATAACAGACAGCTGAATATTGCTTTCAAAGCCTTAAAGAAACTTAAGCTTACCTAAAAACTGTGGCTTGCTTTAATATGTATCAGAATAATAAGCTTGTACCTTAAAGCAGAATCCATAGTTTGTTGGTGCTCCAGAAATCTTTTTGCCTGTTAAAGACATGTACATATCACTATTGCTGAATTCACAGAAAAACTGCAGATGCCTTGGCTCCTAAAAAGAAAAGTAATGTAATACCGTTAGACTACTTTTAGCCAGCCTCTCCAGATAAGAAACTTGGAAGAATACAGTAGTTATCCTGTTCCAAAATACAGTCTTACAAACTGCAGTTTCAAACATGACATCATGAAGTCTAAAAAGAGGCAACTCAATAGTCATTTCATAATTCAGAGGAAAAAGAAATCAAATCAGTTAAAGAGTTTATTCTTCCAGAGGGGAAAAATCCCCCAGACTATAAGTTATATAATTTCTGAGAAAACTTCCACTAGATCCAAGCAATAATAAAATCAGAGTAGGAGGCAAGTTTTGAGAGCAGTATGCATTTCAAACATCAAAACAAAATAAACTTTCATAAACTGAAAAACAACATACTGTTATAATTATTGCCCAGTACCATTTCTAACTATTATCTCTCCCCACTAAGTTAATTATGTCAAGGAAGCAAACGAAATTTGCCAAAGGATAAAAACCAGCTCAATGAAAACTTTGGCAGGTAATTACAGAAAATCCAACATATGAATAAACATTGCTTTGAGTAGTTTATGTAAAAGGTTTCTCAACTCCAATGCTTAATGCGATAAGGCTTAAAGTACCACCACCAAAAATTTGAACTAGTAGAATGAAAAACCGTGCAGTGACAAATTTTGAGAATTCCCAAATTTATCTGCAGAAATTATTATTTTATATAATTAATTACTGTATCCACTTTTCAGAACATCTACTTATACTTCAGAAATTTAATTAGTATTTGACAATTTGTCTTAACAGGGTACGCTGTTCTGAGAAACACCAAGCAGAAATGAAGCAAACTTATCAGGCAAAAAGAAACCAGAGTTTCTAAGAAAGCACCTTCCCAGTTTTGTATCTCCATATCTCTCTAGATTTTATCTATAATAACTAGATTTATCTTTTCTTTTTTTTATCACTCTAAGTTTAATTATTTGGTTATAAATTTTGGTTGTTATTATTACAACAAATGATAAATACATACATATTTGCTCTGACTTCACAGTTCTTGCTCTCTGTCTTTTTTTTTCCCCCTTACCTTAGATGTACCTTTAGTGGAAAAATAAAGGCCAGATCTTCTCAAAAGAAAGTACAATTTTTTCCATGATTTTTTCCCCTGCTCCTTTGCATGCAAATAACCATGAATCTCAGGATATGTGCTGGAGCTAAGGAACATCTGAAAGAAAGTATCAGACATGCATTTTTCTTTCTCTCAGAAATCAGCTTTGTGTTTCATTGACATACTCAGGGCTAAGGGGAATAACTCCTAAATACACTATCACACCACAGTAATTCAGTTATGATCACATCTAATCTCATCAACAGCACTTCTCATTTAAGGCAAGTAAGAATGTTATATAACTCCAAGGTATGCTAAGCAAGTTACATATTTATATGGAACCATATGGTTTGAAATGAGAGCATTACTTCTGCAGTATGTGAACTTCTGCAACTAAACTAGTGTAAGAAGTACTGATCCCATGCCTCAGACCCTATTTATATAAAACTGCTAATCAGTGCTAACAACAGAAGAAAAAAATTATGTCCCTCCCTTCATCCACCACGTTACAAACCAGAGAAATTACCTGACCTGAGTTAAAATTAATTCAGCAAACCACAAACTCTGAATTACAAAGCCATGCAGGTCAGGTAGATATTAGCATTGTCAGAAGTAGGGAAGAAAGGGCTCTGCACCTGAAAGGTGCTTCAGGAAGAGCTTTAGCTGAACCAAAATCAGAGCGACTGGGCCTGTCCCCAAGACAGCTCCTGCCTCTACTCAGGATATTCAATTACTTCTCTTCAGCAATTTCATCAGACATTGTCAGAGTGCAACACAGCTCTCATCTTGCTGAGGCTTTGACAGTTCTACTCAGTCTTGCTGCAAAAGTACCCACTAAAAGTGAGCAACCACATTAACTTTACCCTGATTCCATGTAATGCATTCATTTTTATCACTCTTCTTCCAATAACACTGCTCAGAACTGACTCTAAACATATTAACCCAGAACTGTTCTATTTCTGTATATACCACAGAATCTGTTATCTCTGAGCTCTTCTAGGAACCTTGCCCCGGGACTGGTCTGTGGTATCATAAATTCTGTCAAGGCTTGCATAGAGGTATGGCACAAAGGATTTTCTGGTCGATATCTGCAGTTTTCATTGCTGAATTTTCTTCCCACACACTTCTATTTCCAGAAAATCTTATTTGAGGAGTGAAACAACAGATTACAAGGCAAGAGATGCACTGGCCAGTACTGGACTCCAGCAGAATGAAACAGCGAACGCTATTTTGGAAGCACACCGAGTTCTCTGGCCACTAAATAATACAGTCCAACCAAGATATAGAAGGTTTCTTTGACTTTTTATTGTTTTTCTGCCTTGCAGTGCGATGCATGAGTACCAGCTGCAGACCAACCTGAGCTGGTGTGAATGCAGTAACAGGAGCAGGGCCCCACTGGCCAGGGCAGTGCCCCAGCCCACCACCAGGGCTGCATTATGAGCAGCTTCACTGCTATTCATCTGAACAGCCCAATTACAGTAAGCCCAGGTGCATCTAGCTACACGTGCTGCTGGCACACAGCTGTGTGCAAATGCAGCTAAAGCTATTTTAGCCACACTGAAGCAGATGGGTAGGTCTGGGTACATGTTCTGGCTGTTCATCTTCCCTTTTGCCATGCACTAACAGGTTCACTGGTGGGAAATATGCAGGCTCAACTGAAAAAGTATAAAATCCATAAACAAAGTCAACTTAAAGCCTTAAGAAAATCTAAACAAGCCAATGTATGCAAAAACAAAAGAGCATCTTTTTAGGCTTTAATGTCTCTGCTGAAACTAAAAGGAGTGGTTGGCTTCCTGCCTGCACAAGTGTCTTCCCCAGGATTTCTGCCATAAGAGCTTCAAACCAGAAATGTTGTCATGAAAAACACTTCTCTTACTCAGCAGACCAAAGTGGAGGAGCAATACAATGCTAAGCTTCGACAGCCACTGTTGTACCCATGCTATCAATTAAAATAAAATAGCAGTAATGCTAGTAAAAAGGCAATCTTAAATCCATCTTTTCCTTTCTAAGGAAAGACAGCTGAGGACTATGTGAGAAAATAGAACATGAACAAGCTGTAGTCAAAACCATTAACTGTCAGAAGGATGAGCAGTAAAAATATTTCAGAGTGAGAACTGAATGTCTGTAATAAATGCCAAAAATGAATTATAGTAGGAAAGAAAATTTCCTTGTTTTTTGTTTCAGCTTGCTTTTTGTTGGGGGTTTTTTGTTGCCCCTTGTTTTGTTGGTTTTTTTTTAATAGAGATACATATAAGTTTGTTATAGAAAGGAATGGGTCCCTGTTTATGCAAATAAAAATAAGAAAAATCCTTAGTACTGGAAGAAGAGGGGAGACCTAAATGATAGTACACTGCAGACAGGGACTACTGGTCACACAAAATGTGGAAATAAACTTGCACCCTCTTCCCCACACAGTGAAATATATCCCCTGATAAGCAGAGTGGTGTCAAATGCCACCATGTCCTTCAGCTGCTGATATAGACAGCACTGAGGAGTTGAAACATATGCAGTGTTTCAGGGAGTTAAAGAAGCCATCATTATACTAGACTTTGTGAATTGTGTTGAATTTGATGACTGATTTCTTCAAAGATGTGATGACAGTTAGCCAGACCAATGCTACTGGGAATGAGCTGGATTTTTACCGTGAACCCGCTAAAAATTTTGGGAGGACCAAGTAATACTAGCGAAGAATTGATTCTGAATCTCAATATTGTCCCCTATAGACTTCAGTCCACCTGAAAGGTTTAGACTGGGAGGCCAACAAAACCTAGAGTGGAAGACAGAGTAAGGCAATGGGGAGATTAAAACAACACCCAGGAGACTGGCAAGAGACTGAAATGCAGTGCAGGTCTGCTTCAGCCTGGAGTCTGAAATGGCAGTCATGTGAGAAACTGGTTAGGGAAAGGGGGACTTGCTGTGGCAGAGAGATTAAAGAAATTGAAGCCTGGCTCTTAATAATGATCTTAAAATTGTCATACCATGTTCATTTTTGACATATAAAACAGCCAATTTGCAAAAATAGCCTAAAGCGAGTTCCAAATGACCCAGACTGCCTGCCACTACACATGCACATAGAGCAGTGTGTCTCAGAGCTGCCATACCCTGATCAATACGGTGACACACCTCCTCTGTAGGCTAATCCATGGCAGCAATTAAACCTCTCTTGGGTACACACAGGCACTCAGTATATCCCAGACCTCGTACTTTCACTTAGCACATGCTAAATGGATAGGAGACTCACGAACTTCTCTTTTGTTTTCGTGGCTCTGTTCTACAAAGATGCTCTGATTCAAAATCATCAGCCAAAATACTCACTCTTCCACTTTCAATGAGAGTTAAGAAAAACAGACCTTGAAAACATTTTACTTGCTTACAGTTCAATCCACAAAAGGATGTCAAAGTATCAGAAGTGATTTTTTTAATGACTTGTAAGCATTGAATTGTCAAACTAATGTCTCTTTTGATACTTAACCAAGCACATCACAAATAATAATGCAGCCCATTAACTTGTCTTAATGAAAGTTTCCAAGGAGATAGTGACTCACTGTAAACAATTTACCCAACAGTTTCTGCTGAAATGCGCACAATGGCTGCACAATCCACCAAGGTATTCTCTACTTTGTGCCTATTAAGTTTTATTTGATGAAATACAATTAAGCATACAATGCAACACAAAATAGCAACAGAGGAGAGTTTGCAACATGTTTTTCAAGTCACCAAAATGACAAGTAACTAGCTGTATATTTAGAAGTTTCTTAAGTTTACCTAGCAGCTTTGAACATATTCTAGATCTCACAATTTGGGCTTAAAGAAGTTCTGCACAAGAATATATGGCAAACAGTTATCTTATAAAATTCTTCATTATTTTTGAACTACTAAATTACATTTGTGAGGAAAAATATAAACCTCTATTAACATAGGGGACAGAATTTTCTAAATTAAATGTTTGTGCTAGACTGCAAAATCTGTATTATGTAGGTGGCAAAATGGAAACAATTTTCATTAGATTTGCAGCACTTCTGAAATCACAAAAATTTTATTTAGGTTTGTAAAAATTACTTACAGAATCTAGTGTCTGTAAAATCTAATTCACAAAAATTTTTACCATATTTGGGATAATCTTAACATCTTGATTAAAATCCACTCTTATAAGGACATAATTATTTAATATGAAAGAGTACTTTGACAATTAGTTACTTAAAATGTTTTTCATTTACTGCTGGAAATTAAGGTAGACATTATCATATAGTTTTTTTTAAACTGTAATTTCTGTCTTTCTTTTCTTCTGCCCTAAATATCCTGTGTTAGGTTGCCTTTCCAATCATTCTTTATCCCCAAAACTCATGCATAGGGTTGCTGTCTTAAGACCAGTGGAAGTTCTTCTATTATTTAATTTTTCCAATGACAAGCAAACAAGAGTGATGTGTATGTTTCCACCTTTATTACTCATTTTTCCCCTCTTTGAAAGTAAGACAATGATCCCTGATACGGTCATTTTGTATTATCATTTCATTATTCCCACTGTAAATTAGAATCCTGTGTCTGCTTAAAAGATGACTAACACTGAGTGACCTACCATAATTTTTTTTGAAGGCTACAGTAGCCCTCAAGCTAACAAATCATACTAGTCAGTCTAAATTTTCTACTCGTTAAGTTTAACCATTTAACTCTTTTTTATATCCATTTGTGTCACATCACCAGTATTTTGGTATTCTACCATAGCCTGCTGCTAAGTTTGTTCAGCACTCCTCCACCTATTTAAGGATAAGGTGTCTTACACCTGAAATACCCAGTAAAGGTGTTTAATGTTTTCACTGTATTTCCTTCATTTTGGTGCTTCTTGATTGTTAAAGGACATCCAAGTTTCCAAGTGTGGACACATAAAAGCTGCTAGGAAGGGACACATTGTCTCTTATCTCTTGAGGAAAGAAGTTATTAACCATGTCTTGAGTTATTCAAAACCTAGCAACAGATCCAACAGCAATAAAGAACTATGCTCACACAGCACAGATAATGTGAAATTATGAGCTGTGCTGGGTCATCTTCATTCAAGGATTACATACCTGTAATATCCCAGAGTGGCTTAGAGCAGCATTGGTCTCACTTGGAAAAGATATCATATGATCTGGAAAAAAGCTCTGTAACAACAAGAACTTGTATCAAAGTTCTGTAGAAATAAATACAAAACTTTCTCTCTTGGATGTGCAATTTAAGTTCTCAGTGCAGCACAAGACACTGAAGATTCCCTGATCCAATAATTTAAGCTTACCTTAGTATCATCCCAAAATTTGGCACATGCTATATATTATTTGCTGAAAAACACAGAATTTTGAGAAAACATCAATAGTCTCTGGAACAGGGTTTCAGACACCAGTGCAAATCACATTGCAATATTTGGCCCTTAGTGTTGTTTTTCTACCAGTAATTTCTATTGCTGTTGACATATAAGATTTGCCTGGGGAGTCAATATGCTACAAAGTAAGGAGGCTATACACCAACATGCTGAAAAGTGTGTTGTTCTCTATTGTTTTCATTACACTAGAAACTCAGTAGAATATTTTGGAATATCTTCCACTAACAGAGAAAGAGTTCTCTCCTTTTTTTTAATCTTCTATTTTATGTATTGTACAAATTAACAAAACAAATCTGACTACATCAACATGATGGGGTTAAAAGCTTACAACTAAAATGCCAGTTTCATTATCAAGGAAAGCTCAAGGGATAATTTATGGGACAGACCTGCAGCTGGGGTGCTCAATACAGTCATGCAGATATGAACCACACAAGGGTCTGACCATCACAAATAATGTTCTCTCAAGGCCTGGACAAATTTGAAGTTAATATTCCCTTAGCCACCCAATGTCCAGCAATTTCCATTTTTAATGAAATTGAACTTCTGGTAGGGTTAATTCATATTAACTCATTGTGATAAAACATTCTTGCTGCAGCTGGGACCAGAACACCCAGCAGAACTCTGCTTAGCTATAGCTGCTGAAGCTGCTGTAGCTGCAGCTCCACTCACTGGGTAAACAATATATAAACTTAATTTTTGGAGGCAACAGACAGAAACTGATGCATACAAAGTCCCCCCTGAATATGAGGAAGAACTTCTTTACTATGTGGATGATCGCACATAGTAAAGAAGTTCTTTACTGGAACAGATTGCCAAGAAAGGCTGTGGAATCTCTCTCAATGGAGATATTCAAGAACCCTCTGGATGTAATCCTGTGTCATGTGCTCTGGGATGACTCTGCTTGAGCAGGAAGGTTGACCCATTCTGTGATTCTGTGAAAGCCTCTTTACTAACTGCAGACCATCTCAAGATGAAAAATTTTTCACTGGTATAGTGATATCTCCATATCTGGGACAAATCTATCATATTGGTCCAGAGACACACAGTTCAATCAAACAAAAAAATTCCCAAAACTCTTCTACTTCTTGTTATCTTTATATTTACCTTTTTATATTTTGCATAGATAGTCTGAGTTCCCTTTCACTTTTTATCTTTTAAGCCCTCACGCAGTTCTGCTATTTCTCCCTTTTACATCTGAAACAAGCTGGTTTTATAAGAGACAGCATTAGGAGTCGCCCAAATACACCATGGAGCAACCAGATGGTGAGTTCCTTCTGCTGAGCCAGGACTGCTTCCCTGGCCTTTGCCATCAGCCAAGGTCTGAATCAGCAGCATTAACCTTTGGCAACATCCCTGAGTTAGAGGACATCTCTGCTTTCTTTCCATTCCTTATGTATGCTAACTTTGGCTTCACTTTCACTTACCCCTAGTAGGTTATGGCTGCTCATGGCCTTTTGTGTCAGTTGTCACTTAGCTACAGCTGAGAGAAGCTGCAATTTGGCAGTGCTGGGCCAGAACATTCAATTTTCACTTCAACAATAAAATCATCTTTGCTACAGGTGCCCCTCCTCATACTGCTTCATTTTATATTACGTTGTCACTTGATGAAAAGTTCAGTGAGTAGCAAAAATTTAATTTGGTTTTACGTTCGTGTGCAAATTTCAATACAATTAAACCCAATCACTGCTCTCATCACTCCCAAACATAAAAAATGAACATGGCTGTTTGACAACTCTAAGAAAGGGACCAGCCAATGATCACATGCACATTGCTGTATTTCACATATTCCCTCTTGATTATTCCTTTTGACTCCTGCTACACTAAAAAATTTAAACTCTGACTATCTGTGTGCACCAAAAAAGACTTTTTTAGAAACAGTAACTGCAGTAACTTCACAGATAAAGTTTTAGGACTTACCAGTGGATTTTTAAAAAACTCATACTTTGCATAATTTTTTCTAAAATACAGTTTGGTTTCCTCTTCCATTACCCAATTTGACTGGACTTCCATCACTAATTCATGGTCTTCTATAGCTCTTCCTATAAGAAAAAAACCAAAAAATATTAAAGAAAAAACAAAAGCAAATATCAAGCTCATGACTAGCAAAAGCCAAAGAACTCTCATGATCTACAGATAAAGTGAAGTTAAACTTCCATTGCATTTAACTTGCCCTTCATTGAATTTTAAAAATTTCACCCAATTTTTGATCCAAAAAGACAGAAATTAAAGATGCTGTATGAAAATCTCATTTTGTAATCAGACTAAATGAAGCAAATAAAACCATAAAGAAATTCAGAATACAAAAAATACCCCAAAATAGTGAAAGAAAAGTAAGCATTTTGAAATCTTGTACAGGTTGTTCTATTCCAAAACACATTCTTTAGATGCAAGGGCAAAGAACTGAAGCTCTGAGTTAAAACCAGCATTTTTTTCCTTCAGCTTTATAAAGTGCTCCTCTGAGATGACATTTAAAACTCTTAAATGCTTGGCATTGTGACATTTAAGAAAACACCATTTCCTCAAGACTTACTTCTTGGTAGAAAAATATGACATTGTGCATCACCCCAAAAGATGGGTAAAGGTGCTGATATTTCTTTATTTTTAAGGTGTCACAGCAAAAAATATTTTATAACTGAGTAAACTTACTTTTTTGAAGGAACTGAAACACTGAGTGCCCTCCAAAAACACAGCCCTGTAATCAAATCCTTAAATGCTGACATGAAAAACCTGCCTTTCTGTTTAGGTAAATAATTTTTGTCTTCCAACTAGACTGGAGAGTTTCTACCTCCCCTTCTATCATCTCTTTATTACTGCTATCTCTAACATGAGGAGCACCTGCTACAGTCCACAACAGCCTCCTCAATTATGGAAGTATTTAATGCACATGAAAGATTTCATATTGGAGTACATGATAGAACACATTTCAAAAAGCCTCTTCTCCAGCCACCCAGTGGGGAAAAAATTTAAACTAAATAAGAAATAGAAAGCCATTGCTCAGCACTACGTCACAGGTAGTGCTTTATGAACCTTCCCAGCCTTCACAGACTACCTGAAAGAATGCAGAGTGAAATCAAAATGAGACTGAAGGATACTGATGTGCCTGGCCAAGGCACTGTCCTCTACTCAAAGAGGAGCCCTAGAAAATGTGTGTTCAGATGTAGAAGCAAACAGAAAACTCTTTACAGCCAGCAGAAAAATTTCTCACTATACAAGGAAAAATTTCTGGATGAAGATAGTACTTCCCTTACAAAGGAGAGCAGTTACAGAAAACTGTTCTGTTTGCAGAGCCTGCCCTGCTCAGGGGAACTGCAGCAGATGTATGGGACTCACAGCACCAAGGTACTTGGTGCTAGGGATGACATGGCATCATCCAAATTTAGGCACACTTCAGCTGCTTTCAATGATCTTAAACATTGTGAAAACCATTCAAGTTAAAATAACACATACCAGAAAAACACAAGTCTGAAATATATTGATTAATAGAGCTGCAGGAATTGCTGAACTTCAGATATTTGAAGTAGAACCCCTGCAACTGCAAAACTTGGGAGGTGGGGAGGAAAGCTGAGCTTCCTGGCTGCCAAGGCAGCAGCAGTGAGGACACAACCATCCTTGGTGTTCAACAATAGAGCTCTGCACCCAAGGGCACATATGTTTGTGAAAAGTGAAATATAGAGACCGTGGGTTTATGCTTTGCCCTAGGTGGGAGTTTTGTTGGGATTTTTTCCTTTTTAAACTTTCTCAGCAGATACCTCCACACAGCAATGAAGGCAGAATTCAGCAATGTAATTAATGTCTGTCTTGATTAAAAGCAGAACATTGTGCTCAGCTCACTAAGATTCATGCAATTATATCTAATTCAGGAGTATTCAGACAGCAGTTAGATTTTAAAGAAAATGTTCACTAATTGATGGATGAATTATTAATCCATGTAATCCTGGAGTTTACACAGACACACACATTTGCCCACAGCACTTCTCCTTTCAATACCAATTCCCCTAACTTATGAGATGAAAAAGACTTTCCAAATTTACATGCATAAACATACAGCAGTAACAAACAGAAAACAATCCCAAACTAACTCATAATTTAAAAAGTATTTGTTCAAACTAATCTTCCAATGCTTAAGAATATACTTAAAGCAAGTCAAGATGAATATGTTAACTCTTTCTAACAAAACCAAATCTAAATCAGCATCGTTAAAATAACTCCATTATTGTTCAGTGCTCTAAAAATACATAGGGGATATCTCAAATTGTTCCTTTCCTTGGCCAGTAATATTGAATTGCCAACCTCATAATCTAGGAAATTATTTTACTTTTAAAATTAAGCATTCACCTTTTTCTAGAATTACATTGAAAGCAGCTGGAGCAATTATAACACTGCATGGTGAATGAAGGTCTTCAGCAATTTCAAGAATATCAGAATATTAGGAAAATCAATTTCACTAATTATATGATATTGAAATCTTCCAAGAAATCCTCCAGATTGAAGACAACACACTACTTGTCAAAAAGTGTACTGTGCAAATACAGAAAGGTAGAGAAATAGTGCCACTATTGTTGTGGCATGGTTGCTCAAAGGCATCTTCTTCAATAGTTAGAACACTACTTGAACACCAGCTACACTACAGGAAACAGAAAACACTTCTGCTGTTTATACAGCACTGTTTTCTAAAGCCATTTTGCTACCTCTTCTTCTATAGCAGTCATTTTCAACCTCGACCCAGATTTAACTCTGACCTTCCTCTGAGTTGGAAGCACCTTACAGCTGATACATTCAGCGCAAAAGGTTACAAATATCTTTGAAGTTTTACAAAGCATGAAAAGAAATTTGAAAAACGCTTGTGTCTGCCTTCATAGGATAAAGGAGTATAAAAGGGCAGAAAACAGTTTTAGCTTTTGTAGTTCATCCTCAAATTACAGCTGATAAACATAACTGAGTCAGAGATGCACAGTCAAGTTTATTTTCAATAAATGCACAAGGCTGGATTCCCTAGATACATCCAGAGGAAGAAAGGGACTCTAACAATAGTTTTTAGTCATATTTAAATATTTGGGGGGGTGGGGAGGGTTGCAAGAGAGAGTGGCCAGGGAGAATGTTTATGGGGGTGTTTGATATTTGTTCCTGGTGTGTACATTTTTTTTAAATCAACAGCACTGGAGTTACCAGGTAGCAGCACAGTCTCTTTTGAGAATTAAGAACTCCATGGAGTTTTCTATGTATTTTAGAATGCAGGAAGGCATCCAGAACATCCTCTTTTTCAAGCCACACTTTGCACTAGCAGATGGAACTGCCCTTGAAGTTGCAGAAGTACTACCTTTTTTAGCTCTAGTACAGTGCCAAAGTTCAAGAATAACATGGAAATTTTGAGTGATGTGAAATTATAACCATATTTCTTTGGCATTTGTCTTCTAGTAGATTTTTTCTAACATAATTTCCTATCAAAAGCATACACAACACAGTACTGAAATACCGTGCTGTAAAAGCAAGATTGTCTAACTTGAGATTCAGTTCTATTACTTTCCAGCAGTGGGCTTCTAAACTCCTCTCTTGCTAAGGAAAGTCTTTCCTGTATTCTGCATTTTTTTCATCTCTGCAAACATTCCCTTTCTCCCTACAATTAATTTGTCTTATGTTTTTTATACTGCAAAAATACACCTATACACTTGAAAAAGGAACAGAGATCAGATGTTATATTTTGAAACCACAGATTACACATTTTGAACCGTATAATAGAAAAAGAGAAGTTTTACTACACTAGAGAAACACTGAAAAAGTGAAAGAATTTCAGAACATCTTGTTACCAGCAACTTAAAATACTACACATGGTATTGCTTCAATGCAGTTCACTGGTCCTATGTGGAAGTTTGGAGGAATGGTTTTGTTTTCCTTTTGCAGTAGCACTATCCCAGAGTTCACCATAAATCTAGCCAAAGTGAATGTAGTGAAGGAAAATACTGACAGCCCACTCTGATATTATTTCTGAAAACCAAATCCTATAGTAAAGATAAAATAGCACTGTGTAACCTCTTTCAGTCCCTGATGTCAGATATTTCACTCAGGTGTGTTAGGAACAAACAGGATTTTATTTCCAATGAAAATAACCCAAGTCTTTTTAGAGATAAGCAGAAAATACCACCCGTAAGAGAGAAAGAACTGCCTGATAAAAACAAGGTAGAGCAAGGAAGAATTTGCAGCGAGAACTTTAACTTTTAGTGTCTTCCAAATTGTTCATACAGATGCAGATCAACCAGTGTGAAGCAAATATACCATGAAAAAAATCTAGTTTATACCTATGCTTTCAAAAACAATCAGAAGCAACAACCCCAAAAATAAAAAATCAGAAGAAACTTCCCATCATATTGCTTCCAAGCCTTTCTATTAGAATTGTACTTCCATGTATGAAAATGAAAACCAGGCACCTTATTTACCATCATTTCATTATATGTTATTAGTCTTACCTAAACCTGTGTGGGTAAGTTGTTCAAAGAGAGTCCAGCTGTGGTCATCAACATAGTGGTTCTTCAATATCAAGAGCTGACACACATCCCTGGCTGTTATATCACTTGGTACTTCCAAAGCTCTGCTAGTATCATCTTCACTATACACTTTGATTACCTGCAATAAATAAAATCTCTAAAATATTCATAAGTTTAATCTTTGCTTCAGTTACTCCATGTATGTTGCTCTCTCAGCTCTGTGACTGAGACAAGAACCCACACACACAGAGTGCAACATGAAAGGCAGCCATTCCTCTCTAGTGCAATAGCATCATTGAGAACAGAACAGCCAAGCAAATTCCCCTACTAAATTTGACCACTGGATATCCCTTGCCACAGGACACTGGCCAGATTGGTACTTTACCTTGAAAAAAATTAATGGAGAGATAAATAAATGCAGTGAAACTGTACATTCTTAATAAGCTGAAAAAGAAACCACACAGCATAAACAGTGAAACTCAAGAATTCTCCGACTGCAGAACTGTAGAAGGATTTGATAAAGGAGTTAGTTCAGAGAATGGCAATCAGACTCAAGATGCTCACAGCTCACAATTCTGTAGAGAGTAAAACAGGAGATGTTACAGAGTGGCTTCAAATTTTGACAAGCAAGAACTGGAATTCTTGCACACACATCCTCAGTTTAAAGGGTGCCCAAGATGCTTTTAACTGACAAAATACTCCTCTCAGTTTATTGAATTTATCCATATTCATGAGAAAGCAAGACAAAACTCTCCTGAAATTTATGCGCAAAACCTAAATACCATTGTAAATCCCTCATTAAACAGCAAGATACAAGTTCTCACTTTAAAGACAAACAAGCCTGTTACTGTCAGTCATTCCTAACAGCTGCCTTACCGAAGGCACGCTCGTTTCAAGCATCTAATAAACAAGCAGCAATGTATTGTGCCCTAACTTGTCAAGGCAGCTCCCTCTCTGGTTTGTGCTGAAGTTGGTAGGAAAGTGAGCAGGAAACTCCAGCTGCATCTCCTACCACCTGCATCTTCCCACTAACAGAAAAAAATCCAAAAATAATTTTTAAAAAGACAGGTTCATTCACTCATGTTTGCCAAACATCAGATCAAGGAAAAAGGACTCCCTTTGTAAATCACACTCAGATTTTAAAGCACACTGATGGCCTTACTCCTCTACAAAAACCCATTTTTTCTGTGGAACTAAAGACCTATAGAAGTTTGGTTCCAAACTTTGGCCCTGCACATTAAATGAGTATGGAGCCCATGATAATTTGCTTTAATATTGCACCTAATCAGTGTTGACAGGTCAAGAGTCCCACACAACATTCATCCACCCTTGCCACAACACCAGTCTTCAGGATGTGGCAAACATTAAATTCATGCCCTAAAGTGCTGAAAACCCTCTCCCTACACATGAATCAACCACCTCAAAGCTGAGACTCTCAAGGGAAATAGAAGCCCTCAGAGAAAGAAGATCCAATGTTTCCACAGGCCTAAGCCCAGTATTTCCATTTAATCCAAAAGGCAAAAAGACCACATAGCTACTGAATTTAATACTGCCAAAGCAGCCATGCAGGATGGCTGTGGTTGGTGTTGTAAGACATCTCTGCTTTGGCAGCGTTCCCACTGCTAAGCAAAGGAGACCAGCAGCAATGCACCCTGCTTGCAGCAGAGCCTGGCTCCACACACACAAAGTCCTACTCCAGGCACACAGAAATCATGTTTGGCTATTCGGGATAAACTAGCATGAATTATTTAAATTCCTGCAATATTTACAATGGTTCAAAGATGAAATCAAAAGATGCGTCTGGCAGGGTGCACTGTGAATGGGATGGAGGGCTGTAGGGGTGACTGGAGGAAACAGCATCCCATCACCTTAAAATAGGTCCTACTGCGGGCAGCACTGAAGGTCACAGACAGCTTCATTAGTCTGTCCAGCAAGTCTATGTCAGGCTGAACCTAAAGGATTTTACAGGCTGAAATGCCAGAAAGGAGAGAGACAGTGGAGAAGGTGAAAGCAAAGGTAAGAATTGAATTAACTTTCCAAGTATTGACAATTGTTCTAAGTCCCTTCCAGCTGAAATATTCTATTCTGTTTCCTAATATTCTTGCAATAAAGCCAGGGTGGGAATCCACATGAGCATGCTGGCTAGGGACTCTATGGCACAGAGCAGCAACTGCAGTTTTCCCCAGGCACTCATCAAGTTCAGTGATATGCTTATTTTACAGCAAGAGCACGTACAGCCCATGCTGAGGCTCTTGACGGATATTTTAACAGAAATTCTTTTTAAAAGGGTTAAGAGTCGCAGTGCAGATGACTTCACTCTTATTGCTAGAGAAACAGAAAAAGAGTTTTTAAAATGCTGGAGACAGCAACACAAGTCATGATAATGAGCTGCCTGTGGCCATTCAGCTCAGGGAGTGGGAAGCCTTGGAGGTGGCCTTGGACTACTGGAGCTCAGCTAAAGCAAAACAAAACAACACAACAAAAAAACCAATGAGAAAAAACCCAGTTTATATTCTCTGTGAGTATTCTCACTCAGTTTTCTCAGTATAGGGAAATAAATCCTGCTCAAGTCTAGGAGAACACATCACCCCAGCTCACAGCTATGATGGGGTACCTTACAAAACACAAATGCTGTGACTTTTTCTTTTCCTTGCAAGGGATTCAGATGCAGCAGGAGACAAGAGTCACTTAATAGACACTCATCAACTTCTGTCACACATTTTGCTTAACGAATTGGTGTAAATCTCATCACTTAGAGTGATCTTTGGGGGTTTTTTTAATTAGAAGTTGCTCAGTATGCACTTGGTGTTGTGTTTGAAGCAAAGTCTCCTGTAAGATTGCTAGGAATGTACTTATTCCAAGAGGAGTGGATCAGATGAAAAAAGATAAATCCCAAATGCCATTTTTCCTTGGAAATATGTTGCAATATTTCTCTTCCTAGAAGTAGAGGATGCTTTGAGAATTAAAGGGTGGCAGAGTTATGCTAAAGATGCAGCTATGCTGACTTCCTACAGAAATGAGTAAGCTTGAGTGATACCTCCACTTTTATTGTGGCTCTCACCATGTATTTGACTGGCCAGTCATCTCCACTTTCTTCCATTTTTTTTTTCCCTGAAAAATTTGTCTGAGAAGTAGCACACAAGAAAAGAGCTGCTAATTGAGACCAAGCTCTCATTACAGTTTTCATACCCTACACTCTCAAACTTTGCTCCAAAGCAAAGCAAGCTGTTTCACTTCCCTTGACTATACCTATTACTAGGCAGAAAAACTTGTCTCAGCAGCACTGAAATTTTATTTCCGGTCTAGTTTATAAATACAAGGAGATTTTAGTTCTTCCCAAGGCTAGAAAAAGAAACACCTCAATAGCTTCTATTTAAGTCACTGGAAGTAAGAAATAAGCAGCTCCAAGATTTTCCTATAAGAGGAAAACACCAAGCTCAGCATGACAAGCATTAATCATTTTCACTGCCTATGGGAGCAGGCAAGGAGGTACAGCATTTCTACATGTTCTCTTTCAGATTTTCAAGATATTAAAAATCAGCCAAGATCCCAGAATTATGTGTGATGCATCTTTATCCCTCCAAAAATTATTACTATAAGAAATGTTGCTTCAAAATGAAATATATTATTTTTCATATCTCACTAATCAAATGAACTCAGAATGTAAAATAAATGGTGAAAAATACAATCAAATATTTAATAAAGGAAAATAGAAAGAAGACCCTAGTTTTTACACTAAAAACTAACCAGAAGAAGCAAAAAATCAGCAATTGTATAAAAGAATAAGTAAAAGAGCACATAAGGTAAGCAGTGTGGGAGGAGGGAGGAGCAAGAGATGCAAAGCTGGACTCTACTCCCCCGAGTCTTCTTCCCCACCCAACCGTCATCTCCACTACAATAATTAAATAAAGTGTTCATAGACTTTTAAGAGATGGTGTCCAAGTCTGATTCTTCAGAATCTTCATGCCATCTGTTTCGGAAGTTCCAATCTGCAGAAACAGCACAAACATATGCCCTGCACTGAGGAATTTAAAATTTCAAACCAAAGTCCTAACGTGTGAAAAAAGCCAGGTAGAAACCCACAGAAAAAGAACCAATACCACACAGATTCCATATTTAGGTGCCTACACCAATATGACCTGACATTTATGTGATTCTTAATGCTTCTGTATAACCATTGACACAGTGGGTAGTCAACACCTTTAAAAAAAAAAAAAAAAAGGGCCACATTTATTTATAAAGATAAAAGCCCCTAAATTTAGCTTATGACTTCTAAAATTATTCCCCCCTTTCCCCCAAATAAAACACTGCACATTTTTGTAATTACATTATAATTTCTGACACATTTTTGTTAAATGCAGAATTATTGTATGCAAAACCAGGCTTTGAAAATTCTTACACTCCCAGGGTGTCATACTTCTCCTGAAATCTGGCCTGATACTCTGCTAACCCCTCTCTATAGTTAAACAATCAGGCTTTTTGCCTGCAGCATTTGTTCTCCAACTCCCAACCCTTCTGCCTGCTAGACCAAATTTTTTGCTTATTGATATTGGCAAAGGGTAGAGGAATTTGGAGTGTATTTTAACTACAATGGAGGTGCTTAGAAACTTCTAGCACTTTGAACTGGTTTATGACTTCTAGCAACAGCCTGTCTTGGTTTAGTAAGAGTCAGCTAAATTCTGCATTCATAAAAATATTTAAGAAATTAAGTCACAACTGTTGTTAGAAACAAATAGCATGTTAGTAAAGTTTACTGTGTTCTTTATCAGCTGTGAATGCAAGACTTTCCATTCAAATATCCCCATCTACAGTTAAAATGTCAGCTTCCAACATTTCCTCCAAAGGGAGAATTTCCAGGCCAAAAGGATTCAAGCAATTTCCAGAAATTTACATCTGTCATTTAAAAAAGGTGCATACAATGTCTAATTGTACGTATCTTGACTTCTCATTTGGAACACAGTATAGCTTCAAGAGGCAGAAGGAACACAGCTCCTATTTTCTGTCTTGTAATGAAACCAAAGTGCAAAGAAGGAAGAGCAAATCTAGGAAAATTGGTCTACCTCTCCTTCCACAACCTAGAAGGACCTCATACTTTTTCCATCATTTAACCTTTTTTAAAAATGACATTTTAAAGAGCAA